CCACACACAGGCATACACATACACAGATACACAAACAGATAAACAGACACACACACACTCTTTCACTCACTCACTCACTCACACGCATACACACACACGCACACGGGCAAACAAACACACACAATGACACACTTTTATACACTAGCCCAAACACACAAACATATATTATAACATACGTATATATATATATATATATATATATATATATATATATATATATATATATATATATTCACACACACATACGTACGTACACAACAATAATTATATTATCTTGTATTAAGCTCTTTTTAACAACAATAAAATCAAATCAAAAGCAAATTGTATGAACATGTTTCTATACAATCGATTTAAAGATATTAATTTATATATATATATATATACATACATATATATATATATATATATATATATTATATATATATATTATATATATAATATATATATATTATAGAAAGGAGCTTTTTCAATCTCAACTCATATATCTATATATGTGTACATATATATGCGTGTACAAAATTGTACATTGAGTATGTATATGGTTATACAAATATAATTATATTAAAAAACAATGGTAACATTTTATCTTGCATTATTATTTATTTTTGTTCGTTCGTTCGTTCGTTTGTTTGTTGTTTTTTTTACAATTATTTTCTTTAGCTCATATGTTAGTTGAATGATTGATTGGTCATTGTCTGGTGGGCTATTTTTTTGATTGGCTGGTTTTTTGGGAGTTATATCTGATTGGTTATTCGAATAAATTAAAGGCAGGTTGATAAGTTGGCTGGATTTTTTTTAGTTTTCGTTTGTTGATTGGTTGATGACTGACGCATTGTTTGATTGGTTGGTTGATTGGCTTGATGGTTGGTTAGTTGATTGGTTGGTTGGTTGTTTGGTCGGTGATTGACGCATTGTTTAATTGGCTTGTTGATTGGTTGGATGGTTAAATGGTTGGTTTGATGATTGGTTGGTTGGTTGTTTGATCGGTGATTGACGCATTGTTAGATTGGTTGATTGATTGATTGACTGGTTGATTTTCCACTTTTACACTTACATCTCATTCTCATCACACAATAAAAGTTAGTATAATTTTCAGTATCAATCAGTAGACAACATGTATATATTTAAATATTTATTTATTATCTTTAATCGATCATTCATA